TCTATTGGCTTTCGAAAGCCAATAGAATAGACTCTCTTGAATAGAGTCTAATTCTATTGGCTTTCAAAAGCCAATAGGAATTGTCCAGGCTGTCTCTGCCCTGCTGAGCCTGCCAAAAGCCCCAGTCTGCAAACGGTGCTGCAAGTTGTCTGCAGCTAAGACGAGGTTTCTGGACGTTTCCACCCTTCCCTGCTGAGCAACTACTAAATGTAAGTAAAAGAGGGCCAGGGGTGGGAGGTGGGAGGCCGGTGGGTGCAGGGAGGGTTGCTGGCGCACGTGGGACCCAGCGGGTGGCTTAACTCCCTTGGGCTGGGCCAGCTGGTAGCCCAGCCGGTGGTCACCCTTCGCCCTCGCTGCCGCGTGCCATGGCTGCCCAAGAGCACCTGGGCCTGCCTGCCACCGCACCAAACGTGCAGTGGCCAAGGTAAGGCTAGCAGGGCAGCGGCAGGCACAGGGAGGGTTGCTGGTGTGCGTGGGGTCCGACCGGTGCCTTACCTCCCATGGGCTGGGCCAGCTGGTGGCCCAGCCGGTGGTCGGCCTGCGCCATCGCTGCTGCTTGCCACCTACGCCTCGGCCAGCGCAGGGGGCACTCCCGGGGCAAGGCGGTTGCTGGGCGACGGCCCGCGTGCAGCCGCAGGAGAGGCGGAGCGTGCACGCCTCCTCCTGCCCCGCCCTCAGGGAAATACAGGTAGTCCTCGACTTATGACCACATGGTTGGGGTCGCGGCATTAGGAAGGTTGAGAACCACTGACCTATATAGAACCAGAAGAAGGAATTTTTTATAAATTCTTGAGGGAATTTTGGTGTCATAAAATTATAGATTGGAAGGCACCATTAGGATGATCTTATCCAGGGGTCTTCAAACTTGGCTCTTTTATGACTTGTGGACTTCAGCATGCCTGGCTAAGGAATTCTGGGAGTTGAAGTCCACAAGTCATAAAAGGGCCAAGTTTGAAGACCTCTGATTTTATCAACCCTCTACAATATGCAGGAAAACCAAGTAAGCCATCCACATGTCCTGGCTGTCCAGCCCCTTTCTAAGATTCTCCAGAGAGGGAGAAACGGGCCTAGACAGCATTGTATAGACTCAGCTTAGTATCTGGCAAAACTTCTGAACTGAAGGCTGTCCTTATACTTAAAAAAAAATATTATGCAACCAATCGTTATACCCAATCTTTCTGATCCTAGTTTCTATGACGGCAAAGAATAATTGTGGACATCTTCACTGCCTTCACTGAATTATTGCTCTGGTAGTAGATTAAGCTGCCTGATAAATAAAACTTGATATGGATGCCATAAACTCATAAATGTGAGTTTAATGTCTATGTGGAGGTCTTGCATCTTGCCATACCATCACGGCACGGCCTCTGTCTCTGCTCTTGTTTCTCCTTTCTGGCTTTCTCAGGGAGGGCAGCTGGGAGCGTGTGCCACTCCTTTCTGCATTTTGAAGATTAAGTAGGTTCTCCAGCAAGTAAACTGCTTCCATGTTGTTGCCAAAAAAATTGTATGGATGCATCTATGAAGTCCAGCAGGGTCACACAGCTTAGAAATGGGAAGGCCTGGAAAAATTGGGAATTTTCCATTTTTTCCCCATCTCTACAACACTCAATTTTATCTATGTGAACTCCTCATTTATTTATTTTTTACCCCTGTCCAGAATTAGGGAGAGGGTATTTTACACAGTGCGAGCAGGGTATTGCTGGAAAAGCAGGACTTGGGGGCAACACTTATTCCCTTAACTTTATAGCTGAGGATCCTTTTAGATAATTCTTCATTTCCTGTATCCAGTTCTCCAATTAATTGGCTGCTCTCATCAAAAACCCAACCTTCCCAAAAGGTTTTTTCAAAGCTATTTCAGGTGACTGCAAACCTGAGGAGGTAAAGATGAACAAATTCAAGCAAAGGGCAGATGGAGCTTTGCTAATCTCATGCCCAAATGCTGGACATGTGCAATTGCAAGTCTTGGAATGGACATTCTTGGCATTGGATGGTAAAAACTGTCAAATTACAAAAACAATATCCTGAAACATGAATGTGCGTAAGGGATGAATGTAGAGGGGCTTGCTAGGGTGTAGAATACATCACAGGGGTTTTTAATCTCTGCTGAAGTTGATTCAAGCATCTACACCTGCAGTTTGTCTCTTGCAAACACCTGGATTCCAGCTCTTCCTCTCCACATGCATCCTAATTTGGAAGAGAACGGAGAAATTGGCATGATAAATACTGCCTAAAGAATTCAACCTTCAAATCGAAAGCTATGCCATGGCAACTCTGCAGAGTACAATACAGTAGTCCTTGACTTACAACCACAGTTGAGCCCAAAATTTCTGTGGTTGAGACAGTTGTTAAGTGAGTTCCCCCCCCCATTTTATGGCTTCCCCATTGACTGTGCTTGTCAGAAGGTCGCAAAGAGTAATCATGTGACTCTGAGACACTGTAACTGTCATAATTATGAGCCAGTTACCAAGCATCTAAATCAGTGTTTCTCAACCTTGACAATTTTAAGGCATGTGGACTTCAACTCCCAGAATTCCACAGCCAGCAATGCTGGCTGTGGAATTCTGGGAGTTGAAGTCCACATGCCTTAAAATTGTCAAGGTTGAGAAACACTGATCTAAATTTTGATCATGTGTCCCTGGGGAATGCTGCAAAGGTCGTGTGAAAAATGGTGATAAATCACTTTTTCAGTGCCATTGTAACTTTGAACGTTCACTATATAAATGGTTGTAAATCAAGGATTACATTCATAGGGTTAGATAAGGACCTGGGAGATCCAAAAGCAGATCTCCTGGCTAACTGGGGAGGTTCTTCTTTCTCTCAGTCCAGCCTTCCTCACAGGATTGTTGTGTGCATAATATGAGAAACCGCCCTCCCCAATACAGGTAGTCCTTGACTTACAACCATTTAGCTAGTGACCGTTTGAAGTTACAACAGCACTGAAAAAGAGTGACTTACAACTGGTCCTTGCACTTACAACTGTCACATCTCTGCAGTCTCAGGATCAAAATTTGAGCACTTGGCAGCAAAAAGACACCCATTGGGGAAACTGGACTTGCTTAACAACTGCATGATTCACTTAACAACCACAGTGATTTGCTTAACAAAAGCTGTAAAGATGGTTGTAAAATCGGTTTTGACTCAACTTACAACTGTTGACTTATGACAGAATTGTGGTCGTTAAATTGAGACTACCTGTATATGTCATTTTCTCAGCCTGATATGGAAAGAGATATACATGTGCTTTAAAGGCAAAAAGGTGCTTCAAAAAGCTCACGGGAAGGCACAAATGTCTCTGGCCTGCAACTTCTTAACCAAACTCTTCTTTTCCTGGGATCACATTGCAACTGCAGAAGGTGGTTATGCAATCCCAGGGGAAAATACAACTGCAGAAGGCTGTTGGTGTCCCTGTGTACTCTTAAAACACCTATTTTATCCTATTGATGTATTCTCATTGTCCTTTTTAGTTTTTTTTATTGTTCTATAATTTTACTTTTGTTTCCACTTTTTTTGGGTGAGATAGGCAGCAAATAAATTTAACAATAAATTTGTCCAGCTGCAGTTTGCTGTTTTCCATTCGTTTCCATTTTTCCCTTCCAAACACTTAACTAACCAGGTCCAAGTTTCAAATTCAAACAAGCTACAATAGTAGCACATACATCCAGTTTCTCATTCTAGATCACAGACCAGGCTTTGATCTTAGAAGGGAGAAAAAACGTTGGATCATGTACCAGATTCCACATCTTGCTTCCCCTTCCTTCTCTTAAAGGAAAGGAATACCTGAGAAGGGTGTGGGGCAGGAGTCCGGTAGGGCAGGAAGAGATTTGGCTCTCAAGAATCCAAACCCACCCAGCCCTGCAAAAGCCAGAAATGGCCGAGGGATACTAGTCTAAATACTTTTATGTTCCCTGCCCAGGATGTAGAAATTGCCTCTGGCAAGTCTGTGGGACCTGCTTTGCCTAAACAGGTTTTTGATTAACCAAGCCAACCTCCCATCTGGCAGCTGCGGGGTTTTTGTTTTGTGTGTGTGTGTGTGTGTGTATGTATGTATGCATGCATGCATGTATGTACGTATGTATAGCTTAAGTCAGTTCATTTGATTAGGTATTTTTTTCTCTCTAACCAAACTGAGAAAATAAATTAACGTTCGTAAATACAGGTAGAAAGGTGGGATGGCAAAAAGGAACGAAGTTTGCAATTTTTTCTTAAAGTAACACCACCCAACCTGCGGCACCGCCTCAATCCGAGTTAAGACTATAACTCCTCGAACTCCAAGCCGGTGTTAGACCGGCATTCTGGGAATTCTGGGAGTCGTAGTTCGAACACGGGGAGAGCATTAACTTAGAGGCTGGCTGCTTCCCCGCAACGAGCTGTCTCAGTCAGAAATTGTACAGAGAAAAGGAGGTGGTGGTGTGGAAGATCTTGAAACTCACGTAGCGGAACAGCGCCCAGTGACCATACTGCTGCGTGAAAAAGCCTGACCCCCCAATCCCCCCCCCACCGCTTCTCCCTTCCTATCTGTTTTCTCATTCTGGAACTCCCCAAACTTTCCAGTATTGCAGTAATACCTCCCAAACGCCAGAGGACTCACCCTTTTTTCAACTTCAGGATCATAGAGCAAACCGGCCTAGCGAAGCAGAATAAAGGAAGATAGAGCAAACGAAACAGGACTTTGAGAACCTAATAAATTTCTGAGAAGACAGGGCGCCAGTAATGCCTTCTTTTTCTCTTTTAGTGACAACATCCGACGATCCCTTTTTTTCGAAGCTTATTGTCACCCCTGTCCGAAACTGTTATCCCCACACGAATCCCCCTGCTAGTCTCAGAATATGGTACGGCCCATATTGTTTACGTTTTTTCTTTTTTTAAAAAAAGGTTTCGTAGGGTGTGGTCGTTGAAAGAAAAAAGGAAGTTGGCTGACTACGCAAATCGCGTAGGGTAATATTTGACAGGCAGAGAAACTCAGCCAATCCAGTGAGAGCGGGAAGACGCACGAGAGCCAATGAGGAAATGGACCGGTGGAATAGGTGGAACTACGATCTGTGAGGTGAAGCTGAGGGGGAAAGCTGTGGAATGGCGGACGGTTGGTACGGTTCGCTTCGGTGGTGAAGAGCTGAGTGGAAGCACGTCGAAGAAGGCGGCCGTAGGCGGGTAAGCCTTGCTCCGTGACAGGGAGGGGATGTTGAGAAGAAAAGGACCAGGGGTCACCTTAAAGAGGTGTGGGGAAAGGTAAAATGGAAAGGTGATCTACATCGTAGTGGGAGTGGCGCCATTGGGGGTGACGTCGAGGAGGCGGCGGGGGCGAGGGGCGTGGCCTATGCGGGTGGTGCCCAGACAGGTGAGGGGCGTGGTTTGTCCTACGAATGGCGCCTGGTAGTGGAGTGGGACAATACAAACTTCGGGACCGCGGCTTCTGCTTCCTGCTGGTTCACCGAGATCCTCCAAGTGCACAATAATGGCTGAAGTAAGTAAATGGGGTCACGGTAAGAATTCCGGAGTCCCGTGCCCGAGAATTTGTGGTCAAGGCGAGAACTAATATCAGGAGCCGTCCCCACTAGAGCTTCCTCCTGGTTATTTGTCCCTCTTCTTCCTCCCCGAGTTATTTTTATAGGGAGGGGTGGGGAGAGAACTTTTAAAAATGTTTTAAACTTGTCTTATTTGAACGTTTTGTTACTTTTAAAAATTACAACTCAAAGTCAGAAATGGGATTGGGTTGGATTAAAGGTGAAGGTTCCTACCGCCTCATTTTTGAGGGCTATGAAACCTGCAAGTTTGTTCTGTGACGTATTTGTTAGGATTCATGGGACCCAAGACTCTGCTATTCTCACTGCACCATACAAAGACAATTAATAATCTGACTGTTTTCCATGTTCATGTTAGACAGGAAATCTGAGAACTACACGTCTAACCTATCTATTCAGGAATAGCGTTACCTAGTTTTCTGGTTTGGTCCATATGTATACTGGTCCTATTCTCTGTTGGTAATCAGTTTGCTGTTTATACAGGTATTGTGTAAAGAATCACAGTAGATGTGTACTTTTTACTGTGCAAAAGAATCTTACTAAAGGCAGTGGAGTGACTTTTCAAAAGAGCAAGATATTGTGTTGGTCTAAAATGGCTTTTAGATAACCTGATTGTGTGGTTATTGGGAATACAGGTAGTCCTTGACTTTCAACAGTTTGTTTAGTGACCATTCAAAGTTACAGTGGCATTGAAAAATGTGACTTATGACTGTTTTTTCACAGTTATGACCTTTGCATTATCCCCATGATCAGGTGATCAAAATTCAGATGCTTGGCAACTGGTTCATATTTGGAACCCTTGCTGTGATTACCTTCTGATGAAGTCATTGGGGAAGCCAGATTCACTTAACCAGGTTATTAACATCAATTGCAGTGATTCACTTAACAACTTTGGCAAGAAAAGTCATAAAGTGGGGCAAAACACGCTTAAATGTCTCATTTAACAACAGAAATTTTGGACTCAATTGTGGTAAGTCAAGGACTACCTGTATTGATAAATTTACCCTGCAATAAGTTTTTTTTGTAAATTGCTTTATTAAATGTATATTCTGCCCAGTTCTCAATAACTATGCTCCCGCTGTCTTTCACTCTTGATAAGGAAGTGAAGCCAGTAGTGTAAAACCAGGAAGTTTGATATTTTACACAGTGTAGGCATTTGCTTCTTTAGAAGACAATCCAGTCAAACTATATATAATGTATGTAGTATCTGGAGGGGAAGAATCTGTTCATCCCAGATTACTTTGAATTTTTACTGTGAATCATTTTGGTATATGGTGGTTGTAGTGTGTTTGAAAATGATTGGCTGTAAGAGGGTTCTGTCAGTCTATAATACATGGACATTTGGGCTAGTGCTCTTTGTAACCTTCATCCCAAGGAAGATATGTAGATATTGTGAGGGAGGGAAACTGTATTCAGAACTCCTTGGGGAATGATGGGACATTAACATTATTAACATAAACAATTTAAGGAGTGTATCCTGTTGTAATTTAGAATTGTAATTTGCACATACTAAGTAAAAATTTCCCAGGATCATTTTCTAGAGCCTTTCATTTCTGTTTGGTATGTCATTGGAATGCCTTTATATGTGTCATAATTTGGGGATCTTTTAATATCACTTTGGTGAATAGCACAAAACAATAGTGTGTTTCTAAGCTAAATTGCTATTCTTTGAAAATGTAGTTGAAATGTATGCATTGTACTTTTCATAATATTCCTCTTAAGCAAAAATAGTTCATATTGGGATACTTTTAAATACGTAATCTGTTACAAAGAATGGGAAAAGGGTTTTTTTGTCTGACATTGCTTAGTTTTGTGGGTAGGATGGCAGGGAAGGACATGGGAACATTGAGGCCAGAAGAAAATCAAAGCATTCTGGCATTTATCTTGGTAAAAAGAAAAGCATTGGAGTGATGTACTCAATGAAACTGAACAAAATAATAGAGGAACAAGAAAGCAATTCTGTGGCTTTAATGGGGTCTTGGAATACACTTCTTGCTGTGATTCATAGGCCAGGAAAATGCTGATGCAGGAAAGTCAAAATGAAATGAAGCAAGAAGGTGGAGTCTCTACAAACAGATATGATGACATAATCATGTACTAGTTGATTAAGGAACCTATGGGATTTAAGAATGTTTCTATTTAAAGTAGGAAATACTAATCATAGAGTAATTTTCCATTGAGAAAAGGAAATTGGTGTAATAAGTAATTAAAAAGAGAGGACTGTTTCCCTATAAAGTAGTTAAACACCCATGTTGACAGTAAATGGGAAAAAGCAGATCATAATATATTGGTTTTTTTAAATAATTTGTTGAATACAGTACTTTTGAACAAGATATAATGGTCTGTAAGCCATTAACAATGGTTTACAAATCACATGGGCTAGATTTATGCTTCATGATAAACCAAGACTCCAAATTATAGCTTAATATTTTGGATGGGAATGGGAGGTAAAGCTACTTCCACATCCCCACCCTTAATCCTCCCAACTTTTAAAATGGTCTAGAATCATATTGGAAAATTTATTTTGATCTATGTTATGGGAGATAAGTGGAAAAGTTTGCCTTCCAGAGACCTTCTGGTTTCATTTCATTTTAACCTTATAGTTAAACAGCCTCTTAAAGCACTTTAAAATGTCAGGAGGCCAAAATGGAGCCATTGGCTTTAGTGGTATTGGAATCTATCCAGTGTGTACTCAGGAAAAACTCATATTCTGGATTCTATTGATATAGGCTTAGTGGAATGACATAACATGAAATTGCTTCTATTGATGCTTTGCATCAAAATAAGCATCCTTTGATAAGAAAAGGAATGATATCTCTTAGATCAGGGGTGTCAAATTGGTGGCCCGTGGGCTGGATGCATCGGCCATGTCCACCCCAGCTCCGCAAAGGCAAAAACATTGTGATACATCATGATACATCACGTGACGCAATCAAGTTTTACATCTGTGACTTAGATATACGGATTATTTTATACCCTGGCTTATCCTAGAGGCACCGGTTAGGAAGATATTAAGGTGGTAGTTTGGAGAGTTACTTGGGTTGGGAATTCTCAAGGTATTTGGAGAAATAAGGTAGATACAGTTTACATTGTATCAAAAAAACCCTCATGTTGGAATTAAGTTGGCAGCAAAATTTAGGTGTGAGCTTAAATGGACTCCAGAAGATGATAGAGGACAGGAAGGCCTGGAGGAACGTTGTCCATGGGGTCGCGATGGGTCAGACACGACTTCGCAACTAACAACAACAATAGCAAGATATAGGTCTGTTTGTATATGCCTATGTATGTATACTTTTGGGATTGATATTCATGATTATAGTTGGAGAGTGATATGCATGATTTCTAGATGCTTCATACTTTTGTGCTTTTTTCATAGAAAATACAGTCATATACACTTTAATATAATTTCTTATATTAGTACTTTTGATGGGCCTATGCAAAAAGAAGATTGTTGGATCAATAAGAATAAAAGCCATTTGTCTGAAATGGTATAGGGTTTCCTGCCTGAGCAGGGGGTTGGACTAGATGATCTCCAAGGTCCCTTCCAACTTTATCATCATTATTATTAGAGTCAATTATTATTTTGTAAGTATAAAAATCAAATGGATAAAAATGGATTGTTGCCCTTTTTTGTGTTCCGACAATTTTCTCTCTTAGTTTTGCTATAAGGTAGCTATAAGAGGTTTAGAAAAATATCAACTCATACAAGAGTATTAAGATTTCATTAATACTGATTATCTAGAGAGAAGAAAAATAAGTTTTTGTTTGTTGGCTATAGGAATAATTTATATATTTTACATACACACACACACACACACACACACACACATATATATATGCATTATCAGTTATTGCCTTTTGTTAGACTCGTTTATCTTCATTCTTCTGCAATGGCTCCTAGATGATCGTTGAATTCCCTAGGAAAGATGTGAGAAAAAAAGTTGTTAAAATTGCTATAGATGTTCAATTACCACATTATGTATAATTATGTATAATGGGGTAGAGAATTTTGCAAATTGTGCTGATTCTCTTGGTTTTATGGAATATTGTACTTTATCCTTTCAATGACATTTCAGATTTGGGTTTAGAATCAAGTATCTTTGAATTTGTGAATTCATTGTGAAATTCAGGATTGATTGATCTCTTTCTGTAAAATGCTACTGATTTATGAGAAACGTCAGTGAGGAATTGTTGACAACTGTACTTTGAGACAGTTTTACTGTCAGAGCAAGTGCCTCATTGCCTCCTCTTGAATGTAATAGGAGGGCCAGTTTCTCATTAGCCTCAAGCTATAGTTGTGGTTCTAAGAATAGCCTGGCTTCCAACTGTGCCAAACCTTTTTCTCTCCATCTTTGGGGGGAAAGGCTGTAGCTTTCTGCTTAGATTGCAGTCTAGAGTGCATCAGTGACGTGACAGCAAAGTAATCCTTTGCTTTCTATCCCTACTCCAAATGTGAAGATGGAAAGAAAGATAGGTATCTTTACTTTGGTTGATAGCAGAATTGCAGAAGTAAATCTGTCCCGTTTTCTAGCTTTGGAGGGATAATGTGTACATGTAGTCCTCGAGTTACAACTGTAATTGAGCCTGGAAATTAGACTTATAAGTTGTGATAGTTGTAAAGTGGGTTAC